TAACTGAAAATAATGGCATAAATAGAGCTATCTGTAAAGAAATTTAGCCTGGAAACTGGAACTCTAGGATTGGTGAGATTTTTTAGAACACTTTCCATTAGATATAGTGAACCAGAAGGCAAAATGGTTTAAAGATGGAGGTTTAAGATGATATCAGAGGAATTCTGTTAGGGCTGTCTGTAGTGACAGAACCCGAGGCTGGTTCCTGTCCTGTTTTCATTTAACATTTTAATATTGAAAGAGATAAACTGACACTCAAGGAATAAGCAGAGAAAGTACTGGACAGAGTTCAACAACTTACAGCATCTGGCAAACAAGGGATGAGTTTGCTTTCATAAGAGCCTTTAAAAGCATCTGAGAATTCCTTCTTCCTGGGTTCTTTTTAAATTTACTTTAAGCAAGATATGTGGCAAATGTCAAATGCAACCACAGACAAAACTGATATTTAAAACTTGTTGTGCCTCATTGATATGAAAGTCTTCAAAAGGATTCCATTTCTAGAATTCAATTCCTGAAGTCTAAGATACTATGGAAGTATAACCTCAGAGGAGACTGACTAATAAGTATAAAGTCAGACTAATCACTTCAGAAACTTTTAGCTCAATTCTTTGTATTTCATGTAGATAAAAGACACTGTATGAGCATAAAAAGCTGCCACTTTGCATGGTATTTTTGTCACACCTTCAGCTGCCTAAGGAATTATCAATGGACATTTCCATGTAAGGACTGGAATTCTTAAAAAACATCTCTGTTTCTTTTGGTTGTTGATTGACAACAAAGCAGTGGAGTGTACAGAACTGGTGATAGCTGGGTTAAACTGTCCTTAAATCTGATATTGCTTAGTCTTTTTGCTTTTGGAATGTGCTAAACAATGCTTGCTACATTTATGAGTGGCTGCACTGAAGTGTACCTGTGGTTTTCAATCACAATAAAGCTTTGGCCTACAAGGTGTTTACAATGCATCATCATTTTGGATAAATGATAATTAAACCGTATCTGTGTGAAATTTCAGATAGTCAAGCAATATAGCCACCCACACAATACGATATAAGCCATAGGGCTATGTCTGTTAGGACACCACCTGTTCTTAACAGAGTGTTTAATTCTCCAGCCTAATCTTCTCTGTTGTTTCTCTTCTAGTATTTCTTTATTCTATTCTGCATTTTATTTTCATTGTCAGTCTCTACAAAGCCAAAGAGCAGATCCATTTGCAGATGATGATTACTGATGGAGCAAAAAATTATAATGGCACCTATTTTTGGCAGGAGTTTATAATATTCATAGCAAATTGAGTTTCCTCCCCTCGTTACCCCACGATAGAATGAGTAGGTTGTTTCACTTATCACTCCCAGAAATGTAAAATCAGCCAAAGGGAAGAGGTGCCTTCTCAGGGGAAGTGCAGGTGCCCCTTTGTGCATGTTTGCACTGTTCTGGAGTGGGCACCTTCTCAGTAGGTAAGCAGAGTGCTTCTATTTCTGTCCATGATGCAAGAGCACAAATAAATCTACAAGGTAGAATCACTCATGGCCCATGACTAAATAAATGGTGGGAAAGGCACAATGGCAGTATAAGTCTCTTCCACAATCTCCTGTTGCATGGCCAGTTTGGATGAGCTGTAATCCAGATGCCTTCCCCCTGCATACAGCATGTTCTAGGATTTGGTCCTCTTTGCATACTCAACGTGGAGAAGTGAATATTTTGACATATGGGCAGACTTGGTAGATCATTACCTAAAGAAAGGTAACAAATTTCTGTGTTGGTTACTGTCTGACTTTTAAAAACCATACACAGATGATGATTCAGTATAGATGAGGACATGAGCTATGAAGATTTTGCTATTCCTTTAAGTCTGTAGTAGAAATCTATGTAGAGGAGTTGATTGCAGCTGGTGTTTTTAATGGAATTGAGGATAATCAAGTTGTATTGACTTTCTGCTATACTAAACTTTGACTCCCTTATGCCATTTTGAAAATGGAATGTAACATATCACTTATGGGAGATTGGAATGGTGGTCCTCATGCTGGGAAAAGCTAGGACAAGATGGATTGCTTAAATGACTAGAAGGATATTAAACTTTCCATGTCTTTATGCAGTCCCCTGAGGTAGCAATTATTTTCCAGCCTTGAAGAAGTCTGAACAATTGTCTAGGATAAAATTGCAGTTTCAATGGGTGTGGGAAGTCACATGCAAGACAAACACTTGGGCCCAGGGCATCAAAACATTTTGTTTCATAAGGCTGGAGGCAAACTTTCACATAACGTTTCATGAATGGGGCAATATCTAAGTAGCCAGTCTGTCTAGGCTTAGTGGTTGATTGTTAAGAATATGAATCTTTGATTTCAGAAGTACTTGTTGCATATCATGTGACGTGAGTTCATAGTGTAATATTCTCATCACCTACTTACGATGAGTAAGCTTTATATTTTGACCAAATCTGTGTCAGCCCATAATTAATTCAGTATTCCAAGAGTTTTGATGCTGCACTGTAATATTTTGGGCTTTGTCTCTCTTCCTTTTTTTTTCTTTTCCCTTTTTAAATTTTATTATTTTCTTTTTTTTCTTTATATTTTCTTTTTATTTTTTTTCATTCTGATCTTGTCGACTAACTTTTAGTGCCAGCAAAAGTATCATTATTTCTAATGAGTGCTTTTCTTAGATGTACGATGTAGTATAAAAATACATATTAATGTGTTTTCATGTCATTGTTTCATATGTGGTAAAAAAATTAAAAAAGAGAAACAGCAGGAAAAACAGATGATTTCTGAAAAAAGCAAAGCACTAGTTCTGTTATCGGAGGAAGAGTAAGTTATGTCTTTGTTTGGATTCCAGTCTGTTAGTTCCTCTCCATGAATAACCAATTATGATCCATCTTTCCAAATACCAGTTATTTCATATTTCCTGCTGGAGAGCACAGCAGTGTAGCTAAAGTGCCATTATGGAGCTCTGCCAATAAAGTCACTGATGCAGTTATAATATACCTGCACATATTTTAATTCTCTTGTGGCAGATGTGGAAGGTATGCATCCCTGTACTCTCACATTTAAAATCCTTTAATTAAGGATGCTACACCTTGCCTCTTGCATATATTTAGAATTCTAAAGAGGTGCTGTTTTTAAAGTATTCCAGGGATTTAATTGGGCCCTTTATATCATATAGTAAGAGCTAGATTTCCCTTCAGAGACATCTAGTTTTTATGTCATGATTATTTTACTTAGTCATTATGATAACAGATGCTGAATTCTGGGATGTCCTGGTTCTCCAAGTTAGCTTTTAATAATTTTCTTTTCACACTTGCTTTTGCAAATTGTGTCTTACTACAGAAAGTGATTCCTTGGTTTTCTTTACAATCGGAACATGGTCACCATCCACTGCGTATTTGCTTACCTTTTTTTTCAGTGCCTGAAAGGGCAACATCAGTGATAGCACAGTTAATTGACCAGTGAAATATTTTTCTGCTAATGTTCTGCAGGAAAGGTGATTTCATAGCTTTGAAAAAGCACTTTTGGGTAAGTGACAACATGCATGACAAGGACTGTAATGATAATATTGAACTTTTCGGGTAATGTCAAAGAGTGCAAAGAGTGAAATGCTGATATTTTGAAATTCTTTCAGCGTTTGTGGAAATTAGTCCAATAATTTTGCCTTGGGCCAAATATGCAAAGCATTTGCTTAGTTTTCCATGATTATTTTTCATGATTTTCTCTCTGTTTGCATTGCAAATGATCCTTGAGCTGTTACAAGGCAATAGTAGTGATAACACTGCATTCTGGTTCCTCAAGAGAGGTTAGCATTTTTCCCTCTTAAAAAAGCCTATGTTAAAACAAAAATAAATAATGACCTTTGCTTCCACAGGAGACATTGTATGCCATAAAGTTGTCTAAACATGTCTAATATTCTGACAACTGAAACTTCTTCTTCAACTTCAAACACTTTCATGAGTCTGAAGATGTACAATGGAGTACAATCCTAACCTTTCTTTTCTTATATTGTCTGCTATAACAACTTTTACTGTGTAGTATGGTGTGGAAAAAAACCCACCTCCGTATTTCTGGCAGTGTCCTGAAAGAAATGGAAACATCAGTGTCCTTCAGAATTTGCTATTGCTACAGCATGGTAGCACATACCACAGTTCAGACACACTCAAGCATCAGGAAGCAAACTGAAACAACTGAGCAACTGAAAATGTGCTCATCATTGTGAGCTAGAAGCCCATCCTTGGGTATCTTTTTCAAATCCAAAAGGTTAAATACGTTTTAGTATTTAAAAAAAAGAAAAAAAGGTCAGAAATAAAAAGCAGAAGGCTGCCTTATTAAATAAGAAAAGCTAGGTTAAGAAAAAGAATGTTGTAAGAAAGAAACCTTAATGGCACTGCAACACTATCAAAAGTGGAGATAGTCAAGTACTCAGATCATAAGCAATCCACAGTCTAGTTAGATTAGGCAATACTTACAGTGAAAGAGGTTAAAGAAAATAACTGGGAAAATTAGCTTGTATTTCTCACAAAAAGTTACTGATTAAAAATCTGAATTATTCATTATAAACAGGCTGATCAGTGCTTGTCTCAAATATGCATGGGCCTTATCTATTGAGAATTACAGCAAGATTCACTTCTGTTTCAGTTGGATAAGAATCTGACCTAAGAGGAGCTAATGGTTTATCGGCCCATTGTTCAAAACTCAGTATTTTAACTCTGTGAAAGGCAAAACATTTTGTCTTAGTTTCCACATAGCAGACACAGTATATGCTACTACATGGAGATTAAGAAGTTAAAACCCAAATGTTACCTTTATTTAGTGACAAAGAGCAAAGTTACAAAAAGAGCAACTAGTGAACATAGAAGACAACTTGTCAAATTTAATCAGATTTTGTGTTGAAGCAGATCCCTCATTCCTGCTGTTTCAAGTATTTGGTATTTCTGAAGGAATATACTGTGATACTTAGCAACACAATTGCAGATGATTTTATCAGCATTCGCTTAGTGGGATTTATCAGAACAGTACCTTTCTCTTAGCTTTGAGCTGCTCGTGATATTTGTTGGATGTGTCACCTGGTATTTCTCCTCCCCAGAGGGTAATTCCCACCATGGAATAAGTGACGCCCATGACAAGCAGTGGAAAGCAGTAGACCAGCACAATCACAATGATATGATACCTGCAATGAAAAAGTATTAAGGTGATAAGTGCTTTTGAAGGAGCTATACCAATGGAATGGGCTTCTAGTAAGTCAAGAGTGCTACATTTAGCACAGAGCATGTTTTATATTGACTGGCTGGTATTTTTCACTGTCATTTTGAAAGTCTTGAACTGCACCGCAAATTTATTTACACTTTAATGCAAGTGCGTTATGGGGTGTCTGATGCTGAACCTGCACCAGCATATATTAAGAGTGACTCTATAGTTATCATGACTAGTGACTGCTGAGTAAGGTATGTTTGTCCATAACTAGCTGATTTAATTTAACTGTTGCACAGCCACGTGTCATGAGGGCAAGCTAGGCATTTGGAGCTCTAGTCTGGACCATAAATGAAAGAGGAAAATTAGGATTTTAATGGTATATTGATACAAAGGCCCTGATAAGTTCCCTGTTATCTGCCATTCTTCATATGGCACATCTGTTGCACATAGGCAATGCAGGTCTGTAGCCTATGTGCAATATAGTCATCACTGCTAATGGAAGCACTGGGAAAACAAACATAATTTCTTTTGCCTCCTGTTAGTTCCTGGTTAAATGCCAACTTCAGATAAAATCTCAGTGAATGATCAGTGAAGAATCCCCAGCTGTCACTGAGAGTGACCTTACTGCCCTAAAGAGAAATGTCTGTGTATGGCTCCTAAAGTGATAAAAATTATATATGACCAGGGCCTCTTTCACCTGCCTCAAAGAGAGCAAAAGGTCAAATTTGATTCTAGATAGTTACTTTCAACCTTGAACACAATATTCATCTTAAATGTCAATGAAGACATTAAAGGACAGAGGGCTAGGTAGCCACTTATTCCTAATTCTGCCAGAGGGACAAACAGGATATATTGAATTTAATTGACTGGTATTCTCCCTTTCAGAAGCTGGAACCAATTATAAGTTATCCAGTTTTCTCTTTTGGACTGATATCTGACATAAGTAATAGTGGAACAGAAGGAAGTGGGAAAATCCAGACCTCTCATGAAGAGACCTTGGAAAAAAAAAAACATGTTTGGGGGCTTCTCATTCTCTACTATTACCTGAAAGGAGATTGTAGTGAGATGGGTGTTGGTCTCTTCTCCCTGGTAACAAGAGAGGAAATGGCCTCAAGTTGTGCCATCTTAAGTGGAACAATGATGCTAGATAGGCAGCGTGGGGTGGAGCACGCTCATAAAAGTGGATGAGAAAAAATGTATCCTACTTATCACTTACAATGCTCTGTTTTCCTTGCTTAGAAAACTGGCTTTACACTTCCCAGCGACCAACACTGCTAGTTAGTCTGCATGTAGAGTATCTGAATGACACTATACAGGTTTTGCCAAGCCAATTGCAAGTCTAGACACCACCGTGCACAAGTTTAAAAGAACAAAAGCTTACGTAAAATGCTGTTTTGGACCACCTGGCCATGCTACATAGCAAAGAGTTCTCCCAGGCATCACCTTGGTTATGGAGTACAGGCACTGTGGAAAGGCCAGCAGGAAAGCCAAAATCCATATGCTCCCAATGACCACCTTGGTAGCAGTTGCAGAGAGCCTAGGTTTCAAGGGATCAATAATGGCCATGTATCTGTAAAAAAAACCAAAAACCTCTGTGTAAGAAATCTTCAGAGATTCATAAGTATATAGAATGAGCCAAAGCTTGGGATTAAAGTGAAGGATAAAAGCAGAGATATTTGTCTTCCTGGAGTTCTGATTGCATTGTGGTCTTTGGGTGGTTCAGCTCCAATGAAGGCAGTGCTGGAAGGAGAATAAGGTTCATTGAATATTATTTTGCAGCCATGGGACACCCAGTTAATCATACGTATATCAGTAGAGCAATTATTTTGCAAAGAGATACATCCTAATTGTTACAGTACACACACAGGTTCTGGGCACACTTGCCCAAGGTTTTTAGCTACAGACATTAGCCACAAGACAATAATAATAATATTTTTAAGATAGTGATCCTGATAAGAATTGGTTCAAGAATCTTCTGCATCCATGCTTACCTGCTATGGCACACACATTTCATTCAAGATATTCCTACTTTTTGGAAATATTATGCTTGAGAGATGGGTAATTATGGAACAGATTTTTTTTGAGCAAAGGTAACTCTGTTTATAGTTAACAATAAAATGTGCAATAAATTCAGCATCCATACCTAGAATTTCAAGTTTATATATTTTTCATGTTTTTTACTGCACTTAGATGTTTTTCCCCCACAGGATAATTAGTTACCCTCTCCTTTACATGACTTCTTTTTTTTTTTTTTTAATCTAAACTGGTGCTTTTGGTATTACATACTAGCTATTAAATAGTTTTATTTGAGTGCTGGGTGTCTTGTCCTGAGAGACCAGCAGTTCTCATGAAAATATACATCAGTTGGATTGTAGCCCTCTACCACCTAGCTCCCTTCCCCTCCAAAGAGTAAGTACAACCTTGTAATGAACTGAAGTTTGTAGTCATGAGCCCTGTCTTTCGAATTGCCCTGGCTTTTGTGTGGACTGCCAGATATTGCACAAGTGCTCCATGATCTTTACCTGTAGCAGGTGATAAACATAAAAAAATCATCATTTTCACATGCTTGTGGGACTCTTGAGGCATCTCCTTCTAGCCTGCAATTATTCCTTCAAATTACTAGTTTTCTTCAGTTTGTACATTGCCATTATTTTATGTGCTATTTTCAGATTTCTATTACATTCACATTATTCTTATTCCCAGGTATATTATTCTTACTCCCAACAGATACCAGCAGTAATTTGTGTTGCCTAAGATAAAATTCAGTTGTTTTATCTCCTTGTCTGCTGTCTGCCCTTTAAAGACATGGATTGTTTGTGTGAAATGACTCATACAGCTGTAGTGATGGAAATTTTAACAATTGACTGAGTAAGGTAAGTCAAAGGACAAGGATCAGATGAAAAGGAGGCTATTCATCTTTCTAGTATGAATTTGAGTGATAAGCCAACAGCCTAGCTTTTGCACAAGATTGATTACAAAATGCAGCAGATAGTCATTCTAACAAACAAGATGGGAAGGAAGTGGAGGAACGTTGACCATTCCCTCAATAATACCTTTGTGCAGGCTAGGTTTAGCTGAACAGAATATTGACAGCCCTCTATTACAGAGCCATTGATAACAGATCTAAGTTATTCTACCTTGCCTGTACACTAGCAATTACAATGAAGTATCTTACTTGGTTTTTAAGTGGCTTTTCTTAGAAGCAAAATTGCTTAATTAACATAGTGAGATATTGCTTTATAACTGCAATTGTTACATTCACTCAGATTTGTCATATCAGTTTGGTAGCATTTTCTTAGAGAAACCATCATTGCCACAACTAAGGGTAGTACAAAATGTGCAGTGACTCTCAGTTGCAGGTTAGAAACCACCTCTGTACTTGAAATGACTCTGGATGTTAATTTCTGTAGCCAAGAGAAGCCCCCAAAAGAACTAAGTCCTTCCTGCATTGTTAGCTGTCATTTGAATGGAGATACAGCTACTTCTGCCTGTAATTTTGTTTGCTGGGAATATTATCTTGCCATTACAGGTACCTAAAGGTGGTAAGTTGTTTGTATCTCTTTAGCCTCAATCTGAAGTAGCAGTAGCTAATTTTTTAGTTGACTCTTGCCTTTGATCTCTGTCCAGCCAGCTAGAGTGTTTCTATCAGCAGTGAGAGTTCCTGCTAACACAGGCTAGAGGTTCCATGCCTAGGTGTTGCTCAAAAAATCAATGAGGTGAGGAGTCTAGATGTAGGATAATGTATATGTATGATGCAGTATATTGCCCTCATGTATTACAATTACCTGTGGTGTAGCTCTGCCATCAGGGCTCATTTTTTTACTCTGTTTGGTATCCTTACATATATTATGGATGGCAAAGTGCCAGTTACAAGGAGAAAGAGCAGATATGCTGTCTGCACTGTGCACTGGAGGGTGCTGAACATGATGTAGAAAAAAGAGGAGTGTCTGAGTAGGCCAGGAATGAAAGGGAGAACGAGATATGGGATCTAGAGCAAAAGAACTGACACCGGGGAACAGTTTGACGAAGCAAAAATAGAAGTGAAATGAGAAAAAGGAGAAAGGAGAATTGTAGAATAATAGCATATAGAAATTGTGTTGAGAGAAGAGAGAATAAGAAAGGAAACTGGGGTGATGAAACGGTAAAAGACCTATGACAAAAATCAACCCTAGTGTACCAGAGATTCCAAGCTAGGTAGAACTGGTATAAAAATAAAATGTTATGATAGTGGGACTCTGGTAACAAGCACTTCTGCCTCTGCAGGTTTATGGGAAAGAACCCCCAAAGAGCTATTCTCTCTGTGGTCAACCAACCATAAACTGTATGCAGGGGGAACAGCAAGACTTCTCAATTCTCTGATGTCATCTGTCTTAATGACTGTTCTCCTTCTCCATTGTTCTTTGAAATGATCTGAGCTTCATCATAGAATAACAGAATATCCCAAGTTGGAAGGGACCCATCAGGATCATTGAGTACAACTCTTTGCCCTGTCCAGGACATCCCCAAGAGTCCCACTATGTACCTCAGAGCATTCTCCAAACACTTCTTGAACTCAGACAGCCTTGGTGCTGTAACCACTTCCCTGGAGAGCCTGTTTCAGTGCCCAGCTGCCCTCTGGGAGAAAAATCTTTTCCTGATATCAAAACTAAACCTCCCCTGACTCAGCTTCATGCCATTTCCTTGAGCCATGTCACTGGATGTGAGACAGCAAAGTGCCTGCCCCTCTGCTTCCCCTTGAGAGGATGTTGAAGACTGTCATGAGGTCTCCCCTCAGCTGCTCCTCGTAAGTCTTTCCCTCCGGACCCTTAATCATCCTTGTGACCATCCTTTGGATGCTCTCTAATAGCTTGATGTCTTTTTTATATTGTGGTGCCCAAAATTAGGCAGTCCTTCTGAAGACAGTGACAAGTGCAGAGGCCCACCTAGGTCTGCCATGTTCTGCGATATTTATACACACACCTTGGACCTCTCCACACCTTGTCTCTAAGGAGAGGAAAAGATGGTAGGCATTTGAGCTGAAGAAGGATTTCTAATGGCTAAAAGCAACTGAAGGGTTGTTATACCACTGAAAAATGGTCTGTAGCCACACAGACATTTTTTCAGTGGGGTGTTGTGCCAATTTGCTTTGCAGCCTTTGGATATCTACTGTTCAGCCCATCACCAGGCTGGAGCATTGGGACCCCCTGTTGAATAAAGGGCTCTGAACTTGCACTGAGGCTGTTTGATTTAAAGATCAGACTTCTAATGCTTTCTCACTCCAGTGGTAGATGCTAGTAATGCCATAGATAGCTTGTTCCACACCATAAAGCAGGAATGCTGAATATAAAATACATACTATGGAAGGAATTAACTCATTATGCTAATTTATCATAAGTGGAAATCATTATTACTCTACCCAACATAAACATTCATGCCTGGAAGATAATTATAAGATGGAATATGCACATTTAGAAATGTAGGGATGGGAATATGTGCAGGTAGAGACTCAAGCCAACACTTTGAAGAATGTGGGTTGTTCAATACCATGTTCTTCTTTGTATGAGTCTAAAACATTTTTAGGTAGCACTTTAGTTTCATCATTAGAATTTTTAGCATGTGATTTTGTTTGTTGTGACCATGCAATATACCACTGTCATTGTTTTTCTTCCAGCTTTGGCTTGTGCTAGTCTTTGTCCCTAACTAATTACTACTGAATTCAGCAAGAGTCTTTCCACTGAACCTAATGAGAAATTAGTCAGGCTGCATGATACAATGACTGGTGAATGATGGTGTGGTTGCTGCACCACTCATCAGCTGGGGTGAGAATAGATCTAATTCCCTTCTGAACTGCTCTGTTTGTCTAGAGTCTACAATATACTGTTTGGTACTCGTTTCTTGGGTTCATCGAATCAAGAAAATCTGTTTTCTCTGAAATGATAATAGAGACTTTTGAATAACATTTATAAACTCTTTAAGCCAGTGGTTATAATGGCAGCATAATCGTGTAGCTCTGTTACAGTTTGCAAGTAACAAGAGACAAATAGCTGGTACATACTATAAAAGTTTCTGAAGTTTGTGTGTTATGGTCCTAACAGTAGAAAAGATAAAAATTGCCACTAATTTATCTTTCTCTAGAACAGTAGACACTGACTAGTACAGTCAGAAAAATCTTTCATCTTTAACACATAATTTAGAAAATTGTGGCAAAAATAAAAAAGATGTTATTAGAACAAAATGATGTTCATAACTGGATCCTACAAATGCCCATTTGGAGATAGAGTTGGAAGCCTTTAATCATCCTAAGTGATTTGTTTCACCTGTTTACAATGTGTTTATAAACTCAAATGGGGGAAAATGTAATCAATTCAGTCCCAGACTGTAACAGGAAATTGGGACTTAACAAAGGAAAAGACTGAGAGAAAAATCACAATGTTTGCATGTAAGTGGCTCGTCAACAGCAGACATCAGAGCACACTTCCTTTGTGAATGCACAGATGCTGTTATTCCCTCCAGGTAGAAGCTGATTTTGAGACTTTATATTTAGAATCAACTGGTAATTAAGAAACTTAGGTAGGGAAATTGCTATGATTC